GGCCCTTTTTAGATTGTTAGAAACTCGTAAGTATGCAGATATGAACTCCCTCTGTCATTTAATCCCTTCGTCCTTAGATATAGTGGTATGTCCTTTAACTTAGTCTGAAAACCCTACTCACTGTATGTATAGGGCCCATTGGCTTAAGATTTCTCTTCTTGGCAGTGGAACCTTACCAAGCTGTCATCTTCATCAACCTTATTTAGTTATGTTGTTGATTCACCCCAGAACTAGTCTTTTGTCTCTACTGGCATCAACTTCACTCTTAGCAGCTGTATTTCATAGTGAAGCTTCTCAGCTAGTTGACCTCGCATAAGGAACCTTCAGAAGTTGCCATCCTTCCCTTCCCCACCCGAACACACTTTACATAAAAACAATACAACAGAGAGAAACCTGTTGGTAGGGTTATTAGCAAGATGTTTTCTGGGGACCATCTGCATATCAGCATCAGCCCAGACCTTTTAAATTTTTGAGGGTGGGGCCGGGAAATGCTTCTGGCTTTTTTCCACAGGTTCTCCATTCTGATGCATAGCAAAAGTTGAGAATGACTGGTATAGGGGAAAGCATGGGCTTTGGAGTCAAGACAGGCCTTGGGCAGTTTACTTGCTCTTTCTGAGCTTCCATGTCTGCACTTGTAAATAAGGATTTTAGTATCTGTGTTGTCATGTGAATTTCAAATGATGCATTTAAAGCAGCTAGTGCAGTGCTTTATTAGTGTTCTGTAAATGTAATGATGGATATGAGTAGGTATTGTTGATGAGACGCTGTGCCTGGATGGAGATGGTTTAGGAGAGCAAGTTTTAAAGTGTCTCATCATATGAATTCAGGCTATGTGAAGCTTTGACTACAGAAAATGACATAATTTAGTAGGTGAGAATATGAGCCCGAGTGCTCAGAGTAATTTTACCAGTAGATTTCCTAATATTATACCTCTAATGCTTAGTAATTTTTTCTCTTTAAGGTAGTGATTTTAACGAAAAAAAAAATTACTGTTAGTGCCTATTGAGTGTGTAAATAAAATATATACAAAATGTTCAACTAATTAAGAATCCTGTTGTTTTTGTTGCTTAGGTTAGGGTTATTTATTTTTTTTAAGATTTTATTTATTTGAAGTAGAGAAGGAGAGTGAGCATGAGCAGGGGGAGGGACAGAGGGAGAAACAGACTCACTGCTGAGCAGAGAGCCTGACACGGGGCTCAATCGCAGGACCCTGAGATCATGCCCTGAGCTGAAGGCAGACCCTTTAACCGACTGAGCCACCCAGGCACCCCTCTTTTTTTTTAAGATTTGATTTTTAGGGGCGCCTGGGTGGCTCAGTCGTTAAGCGTCTGCCTTTGGCTCAGGTCATGATCCCAGGGTCCTGGGATCAAGCCCCGCATCGGGCTCCCTGCTCGGCGGGAAGCCTGCTTCTCCCTCTTCCATTCCCCCCTGCTTGTGTTCCCTCTCTCGCTGTGTCTCTCTCTGTGTCAAAATAAATAAATAAAATCTTTAAAAAAAAAAAAAAAAGATTTGATTTTTAAGTAATCTCTACACCCAACATAAGGCTTGAACTCACAACCCCAAGATTAAGAGTCACATCCTCCACAGACTGAGCCAGCCAACTGGGTGCCCCAGAGTGATTCTAGTTGGTTTTAAAATATAACAATGAAAATTATATGTGATACATGTGATGTACTGCTTTGCTAGAATCTTTCTGTGCTTAAGTCTTGCTTTAAAAGCACTATGTGCAGATATAAATACTAATAGAAAATTACTATTTTACAAATCCATCTGGACATAATTATGCTAGTGAGTAGTAAATAATACTTAATTTCCTCAGTTTCCATGATAAACAGTTTAGGAACAATTATAAACAAGTGTCAGTGGGTACTAGATTAAAGGTTATAGTGCAACTTGAGAAGAAACAGAAGAAATCACCACCTGATTAGGTGGAGAGTTTATCATTGGTTTTAAATTTATCTTTTTTATAAAGTTCTTTAAACATTTGGAGCTGATATGTGAAACATCTTTTTCTCTAGTAATACTTGATAATTGACAGAGTAGAAAACTCTTCAATTTCTTTATATTTTATAATTTAAAATTTATTTTGTAGTGTTAGGACGTATGTATATGTATATTCCAGTTCTCCCTTAATCCCATTGTGCTTTCAGTTAATAATTTCGCCTCAGTTCTTTAACAAGTAGAAACTACCACGAAAGAATTCTCTCATTTAGGACCACCAAATTTGCTCAGCTCTCTCTATCTGCTTTTATTCCTGAATGTTGCCTTCTCTCTGATTACTTGGAAAAAGTGCTTCAGCTCCTGTCCAAGGCCAGGTTCTCCATTTGTACTACAGATTCCACCCCTTTCTAGTTTTGCATATAATCCCTTCCCTTTCTTATATCAAGAGTTTGGCTCTCTGGATCATTCCCATTAGCAGGATGTGCTCTTGTGTTTCTTAACTTTAAGTATTATGGAATCCTTTGACTCTGCATTCCTCTTCAGCAGTTAATTCTTTTTTATAATCCTCTATTCACACAGCTGGAAGGAATAGAAGAATAGTCTATAGTGGCTGCTGTACTTCTTCATATCGCATTCTTTCTTCAGCATTTCCACTTGTGCTTCTGTCCCTACAGTTCCTTGAAACTGCTCATGTTGGAGTCAACAAATTATCTCCACATTGCCAAATCCACTGGCAGTGTGCTGTTCTTATTTACCTCAAGTTGACTTTTTCCTCAACTTTGTTCTTTTAACGCTACATTGTAGCACACTTTTTTGGTTTTCCTTCTGCTTCATTGATGGTTTCTTCTCAATCTCCTTTATTAACTCTTCTACCCCAGGTTCTTTTCTGGGCATCTGGTTTTTTTACATCCACAAACTTTTCAGGTGATTTCATTCTAAATACTTACCTTGAATCCTGTTTACTCAAATGACCCAAATCTATACTTCTAGCCCTTCCCTCGTCCAAGAGCTCCTGGTAATATAGCTAATATCTAGGAAACTTCTACTTAGGCATTTTATAGTAATCTCAGCTTCTGTTGGCCAAAAGAGAATTCTAGATTTCCTTTTCACCCCCAATTCTGAAACCCTTATCTCTGTCTTTTCCCTGATGACATCATCGTCCAATCAGTATCCTGTAGATTCTAGCTCTTAAATCTATCACAAGTTAGTCTAATTTTTTTTTTTTTTTCATCACTACTTATATAGTAAATAGTAGTTAAGAACTGGTTCTGGAATCTGACTGCCTTGGTTCAAATTCTGATTCTCACAGTTTCTGTGACCTGGGGCAGGTTACTTAACCTTGCTGTACCTCAGTGTTTTGTTGGTAAAAATATAAAATTATTAGAACAATGGTGAGACGTAGTACATAGTAGACAGAATGGTTTTTCTCAAATATAAATTATATAACATTATTTTCAGGCCAAAGTAGTCTTGAGGGCTTTGCATTGATTACATTTGCTGTAAACTTCAGACTTACATGGCTTACAAAGCCTTAGAGCTAGCCCCTGCTGACCTTTCTTTTTTTTTTTTTTTTAAAGATTTTATTTATTTATTCATGAGAGACAGAGAGAGAGAGACAGAGGCAGAGGGAGAAGCAGGCTCCCCGCGGAGCAGGGAGCCCGATGCGGGACTCCATCCCAGGACCCTGGGATCATGACCTGAGCTGAAGGCAGACGCTTAACCGACTGAGCCACCCAGGCATCCCCCTGCTGACCTTTCTTAACTTTATTTCTTACCTCATTACTTTTTTCTTACTATGATACAGGTGTATTGCTTGTTTTTCTTTAAACAGAGTAAGTTATATCATCCTCGGAGTCTTTGTAACTCTTTGTTTTCTATGCCTGGGATATACCCTCCCTTGTCCTCATCATTCATATCTTCATTTAATATTACTTTTCAGAGAGGCCTTCACTGACCACCCAACCAAAAGAAGCCACTCCAATCATCTGTGTCTCAACACCTTATTTTAAGTTTCTGCCAAGAACTTAACATTACCTAATATTTATATTTGTGTGTTACCTGCTTTCTCCACTAAAATGTGAATTCCAAATCTCTATACCTATGTGAGTTCACACTGTATCCCTAGCCCATAGTGTAGTGCTCAGCTTCGTGGTAAAGTGATGGAGAAACTTTCAAGAATGCAATTGCTTTTATTTTTTATTTTATTTGTCAAACTTCCTGATCTGTAATACAGTGTCCTGAATGGAGCCAAGTGCAGGAAAATAGTGCCTTACTTTCTTAGGCCTTAAACTAGATTCAGCTCCCAGTTACCAACTAGACTCTTCATCGAGTACATAGTTGGATTTTTCCAGGATATGTTGACCACTGAGTTAACTGACCTATCTGAGCATAAAAGATTTGATTTTGCTTTAATATAGCACTCTTTGAGGGCACCTGGGTAGCTCAGTCGTTAAGTGCCTGCCTTCAGCTCAGGTCATGATCCCGGGGTCCTGGGATGGAGCCCCGCATCGGGCTCCCTGCTCGTCGGGAAGCCTACTTCTCCCTCCCCCACTCCCCCTGCTTGTGTTCCCTCTCTCGCTGTGTCTCTCTGTGTCAAATAAATAAATAAAATCTTAAAAAAAAATATATATATATATAGCACTCTTTGAGTTCTTGTTATATACACTTCTTAACTACTGAAATGCTCTCAAATGAGCCAAAAGGATTGTTTAAGCAGTTGTCACTTACTAACACTCATCTTGTTAAGGCATTGAAAGTTAACAAAAATATATAATAGAACTTGATACCTGAACAGAAATGTAAAATCACTGATCTCATTTCCAGTAGTTAACCTGTGAGTTTAAAATTAACTAACTATACTGTTTTTAGTTTAATAAGTGAAGACTTGTTTTGTCTGTGACTTTAGAAGTTTCTGTTGTTCTAGTAGGTAAAAGCTAAAGAGGAAAATCATGACTTAATAGTGATGAAAGGTATGTGAATGGATCTATAAAATGAAAAAAGACGCTGAAACGTGGGCCATCTTCATTCTAAAACTGGAAAAAACGTCTCCAGTACCTTCTTTATTTTGAGCTACAGCATGGACAACACCAACAACACAGTACTTTACAAGGATTTCTTTTTTTGTATTTTACAGCTAGTCCAAATTTCTCCTTAGTAGTGTTAACATATTCTTTTGTACTGTTCACTATCATTTCAATATTATTGATGCTTTCTCCTTGTTCCTCTACTAAAAGAGATATCTGAATGAAAAGGTCCCTTAAATCCTTTATTTGGTTCTCCAAATTAACAAGTTCCTTGTGTCTCTGTTCTATCTCTGAGAGTTGTGCTTTAGTGATAGTGATTTCTGTAAGTAAGCTTTCATTAAAAACTTCCCATTTTCCTTGATAAAGCATATCATTTACTTCTTCTTCAGGCATTTCTTTCCCAGCAACTTCAAGCTGACGGAAAATAAATGTCTTGCACTTCTCTTGCTTTGCTGCTATTGTGTCATTGTAGGTAAACATAGTTTGCTGAAATTGGCAGAACATCGCAGCATGCTGAGATTTAAGTATCCTTGTCACCACTGATGATGGGCCATTTTCAGCCTCTGACTTTCTGACTTCTTTTACTAAATCATCCAAACCTCGATTAATGTGTTCTGCTTGGATTTTTATCTCCTTTGTAATGCTAGACTCTCTCTTAAGTAGACTAAATCTTCTCATTGAAGCCACCAAACTTCTCTGTTGTTGCCCAAATTTTTGAACAACATCTGTCACATTGTTAATACTCTCCTGTAGTTTTTGGATCTCCTGTAGGTGTCTCTCAGCTACAGGCTCTTTTTCATAAATAACAGCTTGCTGCAAAAACACCCCTTGTTCTTCTGCTTCGGTAGTCGACACATGCCTGTCTCTAGAAAGTTCGATTTCCTTTGTTCGTTGCTTTAATTCTTGAAGTCGGTCTTTCATCTTCCCTTTCCTCTTAAGAAGCAAAAATGATTGTGTTGAACAAATAAAAGTTTGGCATTTTCTCTCGGTAGCAACTGGTTTCACAGAGCTATGTGTGTCTTATAGGAAAAATCCTCCTAGTTTTCTGAAAGGAGGTTGAAAAATTAGAAAAATCATTAAGAATTTCCTCATAAACATAAACTGAACAGGAAAAGCAATATAACATAATTTATAAGTTACTGTGCATCTTGTGGGCCTATTATGAGTCCTGTTCAGTTGAGTGAAGTAGCTGAGAGAGCAGTGATAAAGATACAGTTACCCCCCAGATAAATACTTCAGTGTCATGATACTGTCACATAATAGATTTTTGTGCATATAGAGGATATATCTTAAAATGGAAGATTTGGCCATATCTTCAAGTTTTAGAAGTAAAAGGGCACTCTGAAAATGCCCTTACTACTAAAGATACTGTTCCCAGTTAATTTGACCTATGTCATGTTAAACTCATTTTGCTAAATATGCATAATTCAGTTAAAATCAGGATAGTGACAGGGCAGATTCCATTTGAGCAGTTGAAATAATATAGATAATACTGAATTTATTTTAAAAATTCTGAGACTTCTAGATGGATTAACACGTTATTTGACATAGTTTTGTGTTTTTTATCCATTACATACATATGAAAACATATTCCTGGTTTGATTATGCTGGTTTCTCATTCTTAGCATTCCTTTGCAAAGATATCCAGACCTAGAACAAAATTTCTATCCATTCATATTAAGTGCTATTTTTTTTCAAACATGAGGATATATGAAGTCTTGTTTGGGGGTGCTGATAATATTGACATCATATCATGTGTTGGCCGTTATCCACAGGATTAAATTTGGTGTACATAATTTATAAATAGTGATTTGAGTAAGTGGGAAAGCAAACTGGTGCAGCCACTTTGGAAAACAGTATGGAGGTTCCTCAAAAAGTTAAAAGTAGAGCTACCCTACGACCCAGCAATTGCACTACTAGGTATTTACCCAAAGAACACAAAAGTACTATTTCAAAGGGATAGATGGACCGCAGTGTTTATAGCAGCAGTGTCTACTTCCAAATTATGGAAACAGCCCAAGTGTCCATGGACTGATGAATGGATAAGGAAGAGGTGGTATGTATATACAAAGGAATGTTACTCAGCTATAAAAAAGAATGAAATCTTGCCATTTGCAATGACATGGATGGAGGTAGAGTATATTATAGAGTGTATTATACTAAGCAAAATAAGTTGGACAGAGAAAGACAAGTACCGTATGATTTCACTCATGTGGAATTTAAGAAACAAAACAAATGAGTAAAGGGGGAAAAAAAGAGAGAGAGAGGGAGAGGCAAACCAAGCAACCGACTCTTAACTATAGAGAAGAAACTGATGGTGACTAGAGGGGAGGTGGGTGGGGGATGGGTTAAATAGGTGGTGGGGATGAGGGAGTGCACTTGCTGTGAGAACTGGGTGTTGTATGGAAGTGTTGAATCACTATATTGTACACCTGAAACTAACTTAACTGCATGTTAACTAACAGGAATTTAAATGAAAACTTAAAAAATATATTGAAAAAGGCAATCTATGTTCATAAAATGTTTTCACAGTACATCTTGATTTTAGAAAAGCACTTAATGATACCTTTCATGATATTTTTGCAGGTAAGAAGCTGTTGGGGAGTTACAAACAGTGCATTGAACCACACATAATATCAGTATAAGCCAGAGAAAAATCAACCAGTATTACTAATGTTATGTTGTTATGCTATGGGATTTAGTGTTTGATATGCTTATGCAAATATTTTGTTGGTGATTTGGATGTTGTCACAGAAGGCATACTTATCAAATACATTGATGGCACAGAATTTGGAGAGATCTTCAGAATGTTGAGGTATTACAGGTAGTTGTTTAGAAAACACCTTTACATCTATAAAATGGAAGATCCTGTGTTCATAGCAGTGCTTATGAAAATTATTGGAGATTTCTATCAGAATAATCATGCTTTCTATCAGAATAATCATGCTTTCATGAATAATAGTGTCATGTCTAGACTGACTACGCAAATGACTCTAGGCTAGATGACTCTAGGCTAGTCAAAGCAAATGGAAGAAGGACTGTGTTAAATTGTGATGTTTTGAGATAAAAATTCATAAATTGGGAATTTCTCAACTGTCATGGAAGGATGAGATTGGAAGACCATAGTACAGAGAGAATCACTGAAAGGAATGGAAATACTTGTCCTGCAAAAGAGATGTAGGCGATATCTACAACTGTTTTCTGAAATGTGTAAGTCTGTATATATAAGCGGGATTAGACTTATTTGGCATTAATCCAAAAGATTAATCCCTATAAGTTAACTAATCAATTTCTGCATTTTTCCTATGGGGAAATTGAAAATCAGAAAAGTTAAATGTCTTACCCAGAGCTTGTTAGTGGTAGTACCGGTTAAATAATGCCAGATTTCCTGACTGCTAGACCAGTGCTTTTCCCAGTGTAAGATATATAACGTAAATTTCCTGGAATATATGTATTACATAAAGCTGGGATCATCTATATGCTCTTTTTTATTCGGTATTTTATTAAATATCTTATGATTATGGGGCGCCTGGGTGGCTCAGTCGTTAAGTGTCTGCCTTCAGCTTGGGTCATGATCCCAGGGTCCTGGAATCGAGTCCCACGTTGGGCTTCCTGCTCCATGTGGAGCCTGCTTTTCCCTCTCCCTCTGCATCTCTCTCCCCCTGTTTCTCATGAATAAATAAATAAATAAATAAAAATTTAAAAAATCTTTTGATTATGTTGGTATCGATATTTAAAAACACTCAAAAATATTGGGAAGTGATTGTAGAAACTTTTTCTTAGGTGGCAACTTTGTGAAAGCAGAATTACCAACCGTAATTTACTATATACCTCTGATAAAAACTAACCATCTTTCCAGTGTAGAGGGAGGTTGATGCCAAAGTCAGTTAGCTTAATGATTATCTTGAATAGCTCCCTACTCTTTGTTTGGCTTAGTATTATATATTACTTCCTTATCTATATGCTCTCTCTGGCATTACCTTATTGATGCTGAAAATAAATTCCTCCCCAAAGTGTTTAAGATGTCATGTTGTTTTTGATATAGCCATAAACTTTTTCCTTTTTTTAAATTGGCTTTTTAAATATGATTTTTATTTTACTCAAATTAACACATATAGGCAGTTTAAGAAGTCAAATCACTTCAAGGTTTGTAAAGATAAAACTGCTGATATCTGCCTGCCCCAACACACCTCATTTCCAGTTCCCCATTCCCAAACGCAGTAATTTTCAACTCCTTAGCTGTATGTTGCTCTTAAACTCTGTTTCTAAGTAATTTGCCTATGTAGGTGTTTCTGCTTTTTCAGTTTTAAATATTATATTGAATCTCTGCTATGAAAGATGTGGATTTAACTTTCTCTTAAACCCCGAGCCTTCCCTCAATTTTTCCCTCTCAATATAGTTATATCATAATTTTTGGTTAGTCACTATTCTGTGTTTATATTATTATAACTACACATTTTCCTAGTTCAAATATTATGTAGGCCAGAGTCACATAAGGGGTACTGTGGTCATGTTTCCTTTCTCAGATAATTTTTTTCATTATTTCTAGGCCTTTTCAGTGGATAGAGCTAGGAAATGTGTATTTTCACTTTAAGAAATCTTTTCATTGAAATATTTGCACATATACAGAAAATGCCCCAAATAAAAATGTATGGTTTGATGATTTTTCACACGTCCATCTAACCACCACACAGATCAAGAACATGTAACTTTTAAAATTTCTCTTTTTTTTTTTAAAGATTTTATTTATTCATAAGAGATAGAGAGAGAGAGAGAGAGAGGCAGGAGAAGCAGGCTCCCGCCGAGCAGAGAGCCCAATGTGGGGCTCGATACCAGGATCCTGGGTTCATGACCTGAGCCGAAGGCAGAAGCTCAACCATCTGAGCCACCCAGGCGCCCTAAAATTTCTCTTTTTCTTTCTTTTTTTTTTTTTTTAAAGATTTTATTTATTTATTCATGAGAGACAGAGAGAGAGAGAGAGAGGCAGAGGGAGAAGCAGGCTCCCAAGGAGCAGGGAGCCCGATGTGGGACTCGATCCCAGGACCCTGGGATCATGACCTGAGCCGAAGGCAGACGCTTAACCATCTGAGCCACCCAGGCGCCCTAAAATTTCTCTTGAAGATACTAATTACCTAAGTTTTTCAATTGCCTCATTTTGTGCATGTGCATTACTAATTCAATCTAAAACTCTTCAATTGAACTGAAAGTATCCTCTCAATATATTTAAATATAGTAGGTATTCTTTTTCTTTTATTTCCTTTTATTATTGTTATCTTTTGAGGCTTCTTTCCTGGAACCCTCTAATATGACCTGATTTACCACACAGCAGTTGTGTTTAGATATTTTTTTCCTCTCTTGTGTATTATCTTTTCCTGATTTCTAGTTCCTCATTCCTTTTCTTGGTTTATCCCCTTGATTTTTGGGGCATACCCATAGTTTTTTTTTTTTTTTTTTCAGAACATAAATATAGTGATAACTTGTATTTCTGAAGGTGTTTTTATTCTTAACACCTGAATGATATATTTTCTGCAGATATAATTCTTATTTGGAAATTATAGTTCCATAGAATTTTGAAAACCTTGCTGCATTTTTATCTAACATCCTTTGTTGCCCTTAAGAAATCTGCTGTCAAATTCCTGGTATTTTATATAGGGTCTTTTATTTTCTTTCTTCCTTTCATGAAAGCCTTGGCCTTTTCTTTTTATTCCTGGTGTTCAGAAATTTCATAATAACATGACCTGGGGTACATCTTTTTGCATTAATTTGCTGGAAATTTAGTGGCTCTTTTCAAGCTAGAAATTCATGTATTTAGGATTTTGGGGGGAGGGTCCTAATTTTTTAAAAACATCATCTCTTCCATTTTCTTTGTATTCTTTTCTTTGGAATTCCTCTTATATGGATGTTGACTTTCTTAGCTATTC